GTAAAAATAAATACACACACACAGCTCTTATTTCCTTTTTGAGAAAGTCTGAAATAGAATGATATTATTAGATAGAATGTTTTCAAAAATTCAGAATAAACATACATTCTCCTAATTAGCCATAGTGTTATAGTTTAGCAAATAATCCAAAAGTTTATCATCTCCCTTTTCCCCCATTGCCATTCCAACACAGGGAAAACATATGCTGTCTAAAATTCTGTATTCAATTAGTGGGTTTGTCAGCATTGCACAGTCTTGTCCTCCTTTAATTTAGCATCTATTTTGGGAGACTACTTAGCCTACCAGCATGTATGAGTGATTAGGGCAGTTATTTAGGCTATTGAGATATATCACATGTTAAATTTAATTATGTTACTTGCTGTATACTCATGTCATATCCGTGTACGTCCTGTTTTATAACATTTACTATACTTGAAATTCTTTTTTTTTCCTTAACTTTTGCTTTCCACACTAAACTGTAAGCTCAGCAGGCAAAATTTCTTTCTTGTCTGTGACCACATCCTCAACATGTAAGGTACTGCCTAAAGCACAGCAGAAGCTCCATCACTATTTGTCATACAGAGAGATCATGTACATTTTGTTGTTTGTGGCAAGACATAATTTCCATTATCTCTAAATAAGAGATATACTACCACTAAGGCTCTAGAATAGATACCAACTCAGAAATATTATTAATAATATTAATGACAACAGCAAATTAGTAACCAAGGAAGAAACTTCCGGTGTAGGGTTTAATTTTTTTTTTAAGTTGAGAAAAATTGATGACTTGTATTTAAGAAAGCCCCATGCAAAGACCGAAGTATTTGTCTAGCTGGAGATGTGGCATTTTTTGACTCTATGTGCAGAAGCATACAGGAAGACAGGTAAGTCAGAAAAGACAGTAGAGAAGTCAAAAGGAAAAAATCTGCAGAAAGTTAATAGTATATGAAATATTAAATAAAAAAAAACAGCAACTAGGACACCAAATATAGGTTGTCTGACATTAGAAAACAGAACTAGTAACAGGCAGATAATCAATTGTATGGTCTTCCAGTGAAGAGTTTGTATCAAGGTGAAAGCTTTATGCTTAGTTCTTTGTCCAAAGTTTGACTTAATCTTTACACGGTTATAAAATAATTATTGTTAAATTAAGTAAACTGGAGGCCTTTAACCTGAAGCTGTCTATGTATTTTTGAGTTTCTCTCTAACCACAACCTAACTTAGTAAGCAAATAAACTTAGGGATATAAATTTTGCAAAAAAAAAAAATAGTTTCATCCTATCACAGGCAGCCCACTGAACCTACCACGACCACATAAGAAAAATACCCCATCACTTCATACCCATATAAGGTAAAATGCATACTCAGCTGTATTCAGTCAGGTGATTTATCCTCTTTGTTTCTGTATTCAGCCTATAAAAGCTCACTGCTCACATACTGCTGGTCAAAGCTCACTGAACCTCTTCTGGTTCTGAGTGTTGCCTGATTCATGAATCAGTCTTTGTGTCAATAAACTGGTAAACTTAAAAAAGAAGAAGAAAAAAGGTAGGTATCAGTTCCATAAACTTTAAGAGGTTATGGAGGGCAAGGCAGACAGACAGGTCGACATGGGCAGTGGCAGTCCTAGAAAGCACTAGACAAACATCTGAAATCCTTCAACCCAGTAGCTTATACCATCTGTTGACTCCTTAAAGAACTCTCATTAAACTTTAGGATTTTAAGGGCCTGCATTCGCTATATTTTTATCTATTTTTAAGAGACAATAAAACTGTAGCTGGTTAGAACTTTCTTTTTACCGTCTAAATAGAAAGCTCTTCTATGCAGAACAATGTTTACATGTGATTTCTGAAAATTAAAAATTGTATTATCTATTTCTCATTTTTTTTTCTGAAACTTCACCTTGTCTTTAATTTGCAAGCTTACCAGCAAGTTTATATCTTCCTGGCATGCTCATTAAAAAGATTCCTTAAATCTACTTTGTAGTCTGCCAACGTATAAATTGTTTCTGTAGTTAGTTTATATTTAAATTTAGAAAATAAGTAAATAAAACTCATGCTTTATTCCTTCTAGCAACCTATCCTTCAGATACAATTTTATTTGCTTGAAACAGGGAAACAAATTGCAAGTTTTACTAGCATAACGCATTTTTCTTTACTTTTTTTGTTTTTTGAGTTGGAGTCTCACTCGGTCGCCCAGACTGGAGTGCAGTGGCCGCTCCCGGCCACCGCAGCCTCGACCTGCTGGGATCCGGAGATCATTCCGCCTCAGCCTTCCAAGAAGCCGGAATTACAGGCATGCGCTACCACGCCCGGCTGATTTTTTGATTTATTGTAGAGATGAGGTCTCACTGCCCAGGCGGGTCTCGAACCCGCGGGCTCAGGCAATCCACTCATCTCAGCCTCCCAAAGGCGCGGGTTTACAGGCTGAGCCACCGAGCCCGGCTTTCTTTACAATTTTAAAGAAAAGTATGGTATTGTTCTAGAGGAGAATTATGATAACATTCAGAATATGCTTTTAAAACAGAAACTAATTTTTTGTTCAGACCAACAAAAATTATACCCACAGGAAACAAACTATTATGGATTTTAATGATAAAATTCTTAACTAGAAGACAGGAAAATAAATGTTTCTTTTGGCCAATACTACCCTCTAGTGGAATAGTGGGCAAGAGAAAAGGGCATGGTTTTGGAAAGTGAGTTTATCCTCAATTTATTGCACGATAGAACGTTTGCACAGAAACAGATTTATGTACATTTCTCTTCAGATGTCCCTGAAGCATAAATAAAATGAACTATTGATTATGCTTGTTGGTACTATATTTCAATAAATTCCTTCTCTTGAAATAATGCAGTGTGGAAGAGCTATGTGCAACTGACTGCACATTTTAGCCACAAAAAGATTAGAACCCCAAAATATGCACATGTCATAAAAAGAATTACTGCTACAATAACTGTGTTAATTCATTATTTTTCCTGTCAATAAAAAATAAAGGGGGAGGAAAGCCAATCTTTTCATTGTCTTCAGTTATTTACAGCCTTGGCTTGTGTCTAATCAGTTTGTGAGTCCACTGTGCATTTAGTTATAAAGTGAATTTAGTGAATGTTTCCCCCGCAAAAAAGGTTATTGCACACAACATTGTAAACAGCTGTGTTGACGCAATTGCAAGAGCACATTTTTTGTTTATTCTGAAGAATCAAATTTTCCAAAAAGTATCTTGTGACACTAAGGTTTTAAATTTCTCCCAAGGGGCAAATAGAAAAAAATTTGTAAGAACATATTGTGCTTATTGGAAACTCAAGTATGGAAACATTGCAGTGTTGGCTCCTTTTTTTCTAAACTTCTGAAGTTATAATTTAAGGGTGCAGGAGAATTTTCACCATCCTAGTCACAAGATCCACTCTTAATTAATTAGCACTCTTTAAAAGAACATGAGAGAGTGTCCATGCAAATGTTTCATATACTTATCACCTGCCTAGAACCTCAAGATCAATATTCAACACAGGCCTCATTATGAAGAACCATTCCTTCCTAGGTGCATTGACTTGTTCAGATTCTAAAGTTCATAATTTATAAAGGAAAATGCTTTCATAGAAGCAGTGGTGAATATTATTAATATGTCAAAAACATATCTGTGTCAGTTTTGCTTATAGTTCAAGACCTCCTGTTTCTTATTAGAATGGCAGTTTTATTCACATTCACTACTCAGAAGTCAACTCCACTGTGAGATAAAAGAAAGCACTATCTGATAAGAGATAATTATCCAGGTCTCTTTGCAAAAAAGGTTTACAATAAGTTATTTTATGTGGTTCCCACTTACACTGTATAGGAATATTATTGTGTCTAATAAATATCAAAGACTATGTAGAATATTCTTCTTTAGTTTTTAATAGCCAGTGTGAAAAAGTTCTCCTGGAGAGAAAGAATAATTAACAAATTAAACTTTGGGCCCAAGTATATTTGACCTAAAATACCAAGACAATATAGGGTATTATGATTATAAAATAAATACTATGAATAAATAAATAAATTGGGCATGTAGATAACTATTATTTATTGAGAAAAAATAGTGTGTAATTCTCTATTAAATATAAGATGGAATAGAAAAATATGATCTTGCCTCCAAGGAACTTGATGTATTATTTTGGCTATGCTTAACAAGCAGATAAATTTAGGCAAAATCACTTATCTGTCTGCAAAGCATAATCTTTACCAAACAGAAGTTAATTGACACAAAGAAAAGGAAATATTTTTCTTGAGTCACTACAGTATCCTCAATACCTAGCACTGGGTCATGAATGGGGGGGCACTTGATAAATATTTATGTAATGAATTTGATACTACATAAGTAATAATGCTCATATATCAACAAACGTTGACAATAAAATAAATTGCATTATTTTCTGTTTATAAGTACAACTAATAGTAAGTGCCACTGTTGTAGTGCACTGCAGGGAAAGCCTCTTTTTATCATTTTACATTAGTAAAAATGTAAAATGTCATCAAAGGATAGTTCACAGTTGGCATTTGCAATGTTCTTAGCATAGCATTATGCTAAGTATATAAACTAATTTGCAGTTACTACAGAAACATAAAAAGAACTTTTAAAAAAACATCTTTTACTCCTTACTCATAGAATGGCACTTTTTAGCAAATTTGTCCTTACTTGTTTTCAAAGGTTAAAATTTTATATCCTACCATCAAGACTAACACAGTAAATGTTAAGGGTTACTTCAGTTTCTAAAAGGTGTATTTTTGAGGGTGACAGACTGTTTGTTCCAGTGGACTGCCCTTCAGTTGCTATCACACACATTAATATTGTATAAGAACTTGAACAATTTCCTCTAGGGTGCCAGTCTGAAGTGAGAGTAATGAAATTGAGAGGGTGGAAGGCTGACAGTGGCAAATGGGTTGTATGATATGAAAAGTGGCAGTCAATCTAGTAACTGTGTCTCTAATCCAGTTTCAACTGTAGAAACTAAACTCCTAATTGTGTTTTACAGGATATGAATGATTATCCTCCTGTATTTAGTAAACGAATCTACAAAGGAATGGTGGCTCCAGATGCAGTCAAGGGTACACCTATCACATATGTTTATGCTGAAGATGCAGACCCTCCAGTAAGTAAAAGGCATTGATTGATAACAGTACTGAGAAAAATCCTTAAGCTCATAAATGATCCAATTCCTAAGATAGTAAAGGTTGTCCATGTGAGTTTCACTCTATTCATTCTCATACGTTTTACATTCTTTTGCCTATTCCAGATGCAGGTCCAGAGCATATTTCAAAAACAGACATTAAAGAATATACTTTTTGTTTTACTAGAATTCAAGATGCATTTTTTGCCAATTTATCTAGCAACTGTAAATATATAAGGAAGGAATTATCTAAATATGGCATCTCTATCATTTGAGTTCTCTTTTTAGAACAGTGCAAGTTTAGCTTAGTCTGGATAGGTTTTAAACTTATGATTTTAAAATTTTATTCATATATGACTATAATGTTAGCAAACTCCAAATCAACATGTGACATAAAACATATATTGAATGCGTTTATTTTGGTAAACTAAAATCTTAATACTGCTTATAGGACATATTTAATAGATTATTTTATCTTCCAGAACTTTGCCTCTCTTGATCTATTCCAAATGATCTTTTGACATAAAGGATTTTCTTGTAAAATATAATTATAGCAGAAGTGATGCAAATTTTCCTTAATTGTGTAATCTTAATGTATTAAAATAGCATATAGAAGTAATAATACTTATATAAAATGCTTTCTATAAATACCTGGAGTGCTTTATAAATATTAATTAGTCTCATGAGAGCTGAATGATTTCATTTTTTTGAGTGGTTTCACGCCATAAATTAGTGGCTGATAGATTTTTTTAAAATAGACATAAAAATATTAAGTGAACTATTTTGGAAGAGCAAGAAAATAGAAAAGAAAAAAACAACCTTGAATCTTATAAGTGATTTAGAAGTTCTGTTTACTACTAATAATATAAATAGTATTTCTGTCAATGATATGTGTTTAATGAAAGGTGAATGACAATTATCACTTTTTTTGGTTTCAATTTTGACAAGCTTTATAAACTCCACCATGACTAGAGGGTCTTAAAAAACAGTAATGTTAACATGAAAGTAATGACCATTAACTCAGAAGCTCATTTTCTTAAGTTTGCTAAAATGTGTTTGAAACTGATTTGTTGCATTTGAGGAAATAGGACAGACAAAATTCCATTGCCACAAACACACCGATAGAGATGGTGAATGTGAAGTGAAATTGGCAGTTTGGTTGTTTTTTTAAGTAAACTGTCATAGGTACAAAATACTTTGAAATGGGGAATATATGTTCAATTTTACTTAATATATATTTTTAGCAACAACTATATACTGGTCATTGTGATAACCATTTTCAGCTCTCAAGAAACTGACTATCTTATAGAAAAAGATGGAACTGCAAGTAGAAACTATAACACATTGTACTAAATGACTGTAAACAAACACATTTTAATATATGTTTCTAAGAAATTTTCATTGGCATGGAATTTAATGTAGTGTATGTTTAATGGCATTACTAACAAGAAACTAAAAATAGTGCTACAGTTTATATGAGACACTCCTCAAAGTATTCATATAGATAGCAAAATCCTGACATCACCACTTATGACTGGGTGCCTGACTTGACATTAGGAGCACATCCACCAGTGTAAGCGAAGTTGTCTCCATCTGTTTTGTGTTCTATAAAGAAGATAAATTACTTATCTAAAGTATTTGTCTGGAGAGAAAGCCCTGTTTTTATACTCTAAAGCTCTTTTACAGAAATTTACTAGACTTAAATTTCATATATATTTGGAAGAGAGTTGTAGTTTTGTATTCCTGGTATTATTTTTTAGCATTTAATATTTGATGCTGTCTTTTCAATAGACAAATGGTGGATGCTAGTCATTCAGTTGAACTATTGAGTATATGTACTTCAGGTACTGAGTATATATTTATCATATACAGTTTTGATCCTTGAAACACTTACTGTCTTTTGGTATAGCTACTATTTATTATTCAGAATTGAGTTTTTGAATCATTGCTACAAATTGAGTCCCCTTAATTAGCATAGTTGTGATTTGGTTGCATTTACACCAATCCTAACTGAAAACCAAATTTCATGAAAATTTTCATAAGTACTATATTACTTTTTAAAAAAATATTAAGATTTAGTCTTATTAGTTTTTAGTCTTATTATCGCATGTTGGTGCTTAAAAGACAGAAGAAATATTTTTTGGATGGGCTTGCCAAGTTTTTTCTGCCTATTTACTGTTAATAAGGGTTTATTAATTATAAAAAATAGTTTTGACTATATACTTCAAGGCTACTGAGTCAGTTCCACTTCTTGGGCCTATAAGTATTTACCTTAGCACTAGATGTTTATTTATTGATTTCTCTTCCTAACTAGAGTGTAAGGTCCTTGAGAGCAGGAATCAAAACTTATTCCAGTTTATATTCCCACTCTAACTCCAAGCCTGGTACTTAGCAGTCTGCCAGGAAATATTTGTTGAACAATTGAATAAGTGAATAAATAAAGACTTCTAATACTCTTCAGAACTGAAGATATATGCCATATCAGAAATTTAGGTTTTTTGTGTGACATTGGAAAAATGTCTCCAAGTCATAGTTTGGCCATTTGAGATCTATGAGAATTAAATAAGTAATGCACATGTACATGTAGCAAAGATTCTGTACCCTCACATATTATGCATTGCTACTATTCAGCAATAATAATTTTTATGTCTAGAAGTTGACCACATCTATTTTAAGGTATCCCGTTTCTTTTGATCAAAATGAGAACCACCCATATTAAATTATAAAATAGCAGCAACACAGGTCTTTGAAGTATGAGATAAACTAGGTGAGGTTTGAAAAACAGAGCACGCCTTGGTAATTAATACATTACATTAAAATTATAAAATACATGTTGTACAAAATTAAAGTGCTCCAGTGAAAGAAAAAAAAGTCTTCCAAGAATCACCTCCCCCAAAACACTGAATTAAAGCTGATAGGACTTCTTTTCTCTGCTTTACTTTTGTGACACTATTGACATTATGAAGTTTGCATCAGGCATTTTGTGGTGAAAGACTGATCATTTTGGAAATTAAAAATTACTAGCCTTTTCTTTCTATTCACCAGAGACTTCTCTTTCCAAAATTTCACAAAATTGCCAGAGTAATTTTTAGTTGCTTAGTTTTATTTTTGAAATGACAGATACAGACATTCTCTTTATGATCAGTAAATGACTGTCGAATAGTGAACAGGTCAGCATGAAGTAATTGAGATAAATAAATAGAGTTATGTTTTGCTCATTTCAAGAAATGAAGTAAGGAGAACCCAAAAAGTTTAACAAATTCTGATTGTTGTACCATTATCTCCATTTAATGCATTTTAGGAGTTTATAAAGCGCTTGTTTAAAGTAAGGCGGTAATTGGAACATGTTTAATGTTAGCAATTTTGACAAACTTTCTTATCTTCACATATATAATATTGTCAACATTTTATAGACATTTAAGACTTTGCTATTGATTTATGATATGAATATGTTCAGTAAAAAATAAGTTTTTGCAGTAGTAATTGGTTTTGTCATTAGTTCCCCAAAACTATATTTTCACTACAGATTTCAAAAAGTGTATTCATAAAAAGAAAGTAACTACTAGTATAAAGTATTTTATTTTCCTCTGTTGAGATTTTGAAAGCAATCTTAGTCTTTCAGAATTTAGACAGGCTACCTGAGGAATTATTTGCAAAGTTTTCACAGGTGGCTTCACTAGTCAGCTCAGTCATTCACGGGCACTTCTGTTGATTCCTAGAGAATGATAAAAGATGGCCAGTTCTTCTTTTCTACATGTCTATGTTTTATTAAAATACCATGATATTACCAACCATGCAAGATATTTATGCTCATCTTCTCACAATGTTTAATCCTTCAAATAGTCATTCTGTTGCTATCAGCAGAGGTTATGACAACAGAACGAAAGAAACAGTCATCTTTACACAGGATTCACAGCTTGGTTGTTTTGTGTGCAACAGTTAAAACTATTCAGGACCAGGAGTGTTATAAGATTGCATATTTATCCCCAAATAATATGGCTATTCTGTATCATTTTCAATTATATCTCTACTAATCTATTTTCATCACTCACACACATACTTGTGATGTTATGCTATATTGATTTAGGTTACTGCTAGCAATGTAGCAGACTCTCTAATTTCAAAGATCAGCTACTACTGTGGTTCCTGATCCTTGTCACAAGGAAAGAATGTACACAGCTCAGTGTTGTGGATTTTTTTTTTCCCTTAACATCAAAGCTGCTACGGAAATAATCAAGAGCTACTTTTACTGTGAATGTCAACTCGTGAAAACTGAAATGATGTAGCCCCAGCCTGAGTCCCTTTGGTCTCAAATACTTAATTAGAAAAACAAAAACACTATGAAGCAATTGGGGTTTGATCTTTAAAGTGACAATGGGTTATAATTAGTTTTGAAAGTGTAAATGGGTACAAGAGTGACAATTTTATAAGAAAGTTTATGCATACATGCTTATCATCTGGAAAAGTCTTACTTAAATGTTTTAAGTGACTGTGTTATTTGTTTCCTTCTTATGGCATGGTAAAAAGCAATTATATTTTTAATAATACCTTAAATCAATATAAGAATTAACGATTAGATGTAAATAATGTTTTTCTAATTTAGAAACTTCCATACTTACCAGAACTAAAGGAGTATTTTTCTTTTGTTATGAAGGAAATGTGTATAAAGTTTGTCAATTTACTCTTTACAAAAGTGTTACTCCACAATCAATAATGTATGATTAAATCAAACTAAAATCTGATCTAAGAAAGCCTCTGTACTCGTATACTTGAGTCTTTATATACAAACCATAACCTAACTTAGTAGGTAAACAAACTAAAAACCTAATTTAGGAGAATATTTATGTAGCAATAACTGAGCCTCGGTCAATCCCAAGCATTAAAGTCAATCCTAGCCATTTAAACCTGCGAACCATTCACAGGTGGCCAACTGTTTAAACTATGTTTAAATAAGACAGTTGCTGAGCTGAAACCAATCTAAC